ACAGAAGGACAAATATAGTATTTGTTCATTGTTGTGGAGGGTCAAGGAAAAGTTTATATATGGAGGGAAACTTTCTTTGTTGGTTGCCAGGGGTGGGAGGGGAGGGAAGGGAGCACTGCAAAAAAAACAAAAAAGTATTGACTCATGTCACTTTAGTTTTGTGTATTTCACTGTACAAAAATTATATTTCAGTAAAATGCATTTAAAAAATATGTAATTCAGAATTTATTTAGAAAAATACTAGGAAAAGACCTAAAAGACTTGAAAGTGGTTGTCTCTGGGGTGTCAAAAGTTAAATGCTCTAGAATTGCAAAGAAATTTTTTAAAAAGAAATGCAATAAAGAGGGAATTGCCTGTTAAGTATCTAAATATGACATAAAGCAACATTAATTAAAACAACATTGTACTAGTGGAAGAGGAGACAATGGATTGAAATTGAGAATCCAGATATATAGTCATGTAAATATCAGTGTTCTCGACTTGAAAAGATGGCATTTTAGGCTGCTAGGTAATGATGAATTACTCAAAGCATGGTTACAGGATCATTGGCTATCCATTTAGGAAAATAATAAAAGTAGATCCCTACTTCTTATACCTCACATCATACATGGAATTTAACTCAGGATGGACTGAGGACCTAATTATAAGAAATAAAGCTCTTAGAAGAAAACATAGGGGTATTGCTTTGGGACCTAGTATTTCACAGTGGATTCTGATAAAATATCAAAAGTATTTGCAACAAAAAGCAAAATAGGTAAATGGGACCTCATCAAAATTAAAAACTTTTGTTCAACGAAGGACTTTAACGGCAAAGTGAAGAGATGACCTACAGAATGGTAGAAAATTTTGGGGAACCATCTATTAGTTAAGGGCTTAATGTCTAGAATATATAAATGACTCCAACTTAACCAAAAAATCAGTGCAATTAAAAAATAGGCAAAGGACTTGAATAGACATTGCTGCAAGGAAGATACATAAATGGCTAACAAGAACATGAAAACATGATCAACGTCATTAACTATTAATCAAAAACTCATGGCCATCAAGTTGATTCCAACTCCTAGTTACCCTATGGGACAGAGTAGAACTGCCCCATCGGGTTCCCAAGGCTGTAATCTTTACACAAGCAGACTGCCTCATCTTCCTTCTGCTGAGTGTCTGGTAGGGTTGAACTGCCATGCCGACCTTTTGTTCAGCTGCCGAATGCTTTAACCACTGTGCCACTAGAGCTCCTTTCATTTACTATTAAGGAGATGTAAATAAAAACTACAATGAGATACTACTTCGCTCCATTAGGACGGCTAAGTTAAAGAAAAAGAAGGAAAACAACAAGTACTGGTGGGCATGTAGAGAACTAGAACTATCATCCATTGCTGGTGGGAATGCAAAATGGTACAATTGCTGTGGAAAACAGTGTGGTGGTTCCACAAAAAGTTAAACAAAGACCCCAGCTATTTCACTTGTACGTATATATGACACTGAAAAGTAGTGACTCAAATAGAAAAGTGTACGTCAGTTCATCGCAGCTCTATTCACTATAGCCAAAAAGTGAAACAACTTAAATGTCCATCAACAGACAGATAAACAAAACATGGTGTATACATACAATGGAATATTACTCAGCCATAAAAAGAAATGCATTCCTTATATATGCCATGGATGAATCTTGAAGACAGTATGCTAAGTAAAATGAGTCACCAAAGACAAATATTACATGATCCCACTTACATGAAATATCTAGAACACTCTCATGTGTAAGGATCAAAAGTTTACGGGAGAGAGAGCGGGGTAGTCATTGTTTAGGAAGCCCTGAGTATCTGCTAATGGTGATGGAAAACTTGGCAGTGGATACTGTTGATGGTTCCTCACATGGCCAGTGTTTTGGTCACTTCATGCCACTCTGACAACAATATACCACAAATGGGATGGCTTTAACAAACAGGAGTTTATTCTCTTACAATTTGGAGGCTTTAAGTCTGAGTTCAAAGTGCCAGGCTCTAGGGGCTGTGTGAAAGCCCCTCAACCTTAGGCTTCAGCTCTGCCTCCTGCTCCTGGCCCACTGAAACTAGAGTCTTTTCTTCATTCAGACAGCTACTGGCTGCTGAGGTTGACAAGCCCAAGGTTGACAAGTAAAAGGCACAGTCCCAATGTTACCAAACAATATGGCAGGCCATCGATTCAAGTCTATTAAAAGTCCCAAGATCGGCAGAGCATGGGAGGCTGCTGAACAGTGACTCAGCTACATGCAGGGTTCAAGTGTTCCATAAGCTAGAGACCATGCCCAAAGCTGCTGCTTATATATGGGAAGCAGACCACATTTCTAAAGCAACTACTCAGCTGCTTGTGGTAGATACCACCATGGAGTTGATTGCCAGTCATAACTACCACCAGCTGCCCAGCCACTCAACCATGCCCAGTCAAGTTGACACACAATCTTATCTACCACAGCCAGTGTAATTAGTGTCATTGAATTGTTCATATAAAACGTAATGAATTGGTAAATACTACATTAAATATATTTTTACCACAATGAAAAAAATAATCCCTGCTTCATATAATGCCTCAAAATAAATCCTTGTTGCTGTTGTTATGTGCCGTCAAGTCAGACCCAACTCATAGCCACCCCTCCTTGGGTTTCCGAGGTGGTATCACTATGGAAGTAGATTGCCCAACCTTCCTTCCGAGGAGTGGCTGGTGGGTTTGAACTGCCAGCTTTCTGGTTAGCAGTCAAGTGCCTTAGGCACTACACTACCAGAGTTCCTAGATGAATTATATATATATTCCCTTTAATTTGTTAGTTTCCCTTCAGATAATCTTTACTCCAGAAATAAAGTACAGTTCATAAGCGCATGTGGACACAGATGTTTGTAATAGCAAAATATTGGAGACATTCTTAATGCCCATAAATAGGGACATGCTTGAATAAACTATTGTTTATCTATACCCGAGGCCAGCAAACTATTTTTGTAAAGGGCCAGATAGTAATTATTTTAGGCTTTGTGGGCTACAAACCAAAAGTGAATCTGTCATGTAGATACTTACATAACAAGGATGAAAAAAAAAACTTTCCACAAATTTTTTATTGGTAAAATCTAAAATATAGAAAAATTAAGTATAATTTTTTTGGTAGCACAGGTGTGCTAACTAGAAGAATGGGATTCTTTTTTGGGGAAAAAGCCATTATTTGGGGTTAAAAGTTAGTATTCCCTATCACCAAATTGATTACAAGTGTTCATCTGTGAAAATCATTCTGACGTATGCAGGCAGCAGGCCACATCTGGCCTAGGAGCTTTAGCTTGACGTCGGTAAAGACTGTAAGGTGAATATTGAAGCTTTCCTGTACTGTCACTTACAGAGTAGTGGGTAGGGAGGAGGGAAAGCTGTTAGAAGTTTGTGTACATTCTTCTGTGTTTTTTAAATGCATAAATATGAACACATACGTGGATACACACACACACACACACACACAAACATGGTCATAGCTTCTGTAGAAAGGTATGTTATACTCAAAGGTGTATAAATATTATCATGTACTTGCTTTTAGTACTCAGCAATATATCCTGGTCAGCCTTCTATATATCGGTACATACAAATCCACTACATTGTTTTCAACGATCACATAATATTGTATGTAAACACTGTAGTGGATTTATATATGTACAGTATATAGGTTTCTATGTAGTGATACATATATTGTTGGCTGTCCTTTAAAAAAGCAAGTACACGATAATATTTATACATCTTTCAGTTTCAATATTTACTTTATACTCTTCTGTCTTGATTTTTTTTTTTTTCACTTAGTGTTGTGCTACTTTGTAATTAAAAAGAAAATTTTAAGGCAGTTTTAAATTCAGTTACATAAAATCCATGGTATGCCTCTTAATCTTTTGTAGCTTCGTTTCTTTAGTTTTTTTTTCTTTTTTTTTAATTACTGTGGTAAATACATATGTAACAAAACATTTACCATTTCGACATTATTTATGCTGATCATGTTGTTCAGCCATCACCATTTCCAGGGTTTTCCATCCTTAGCTTTTATAAACTCAAACATGATGGTAATGATTGTAGGCCAACACTTACATTGTACTATTACGCACATGCCAGCTTCTGTTTTAAGCGTTTACATATGTTACTCATTTAATCTTCACAGCTCTTTGAGGTATTTTTATTCCTGTTTTATCCCTGTTCTACAGATGTGTGAAATCAAGTGGCTTTTCCAAAGTCACCCAGCTAGTAAGTGATGAAATTGGGGCTTGAACTGGGAGAGTCTGTGTTCTCTCAGTACTGTTGCCTCTCAAATCATATAAATCATATGCATATGAATATAGCATGATCATGTTAATGAGCCCCCAAAACTGCTGCCCTGAGATAATCTTTGAACTTTAAATCACAATTTCCCTTGAGATCTTCTTTAAACCCCAAAGTAGCTTATTTCAATGAGTAAAGTGTGTCTGCTTTGAGCATTGTGCCCTTTTACAGAATTATCTATGTGAGATCAAACTGACAATGGCAACTGGAAAGGTCAGATGGGAAGCTTAGGGAGCAGTGAGTTTAAGTTAATGATGGAATAGAATAGTGAGAATGGTAGCACAATTAGGAGGATGTAACCAGTGTCACTGAAATATGCATGTAGAAATTGTTGAATATGTATCTTTAGCTGTGTACTTTCATCAAAATTAAAAAGAAAGAAAGTCATACAAGAGACTCTGACATGCCCATCTGTAGGGGCGTGCTAAGTAAAATGAGTCACCAAAGACAAATATTGTATGATCCCACTTACATGAAATATCTAGAACAGTCTCATGTATAAGGATCAAAGTTGAAGGAATAGGAAACAGGGCCTGTCATGAGAGTCACTGCCTGACCCAGTGTTTGTAATGATTGCCATACTGTTCGGCCTACTCTGGGATGGGGAGAAAAGAGTGCTGCTTCTGTTGCCCATGTTTTACAGTCTCCTTTAAGATGCTTGATGGGTTGTTTTCTTGTGTCTTGGTTTTCAGCACATCAGAGCAGAGTGACAATGATCCTGTTTGTCCTGGAGCTGGAGTGGGTGCTGAGTACGGGACAGGACAAGCAGTTTGCCTGGCATTGTTCTGAGAGCGGACAGCGCCTAGGAGGATATCGCACCAGTGCGGTGGCCTCGGGCCTGCAGTATCCTTTGCTGGACACAATCCTTTGGTGGGGAACTTTGCTGTTGTTTTTCTTTTGTGACAGTTTTGGGTATGTGCAGTTGAAAATTTGGGAGTTTTTTGTTTTCTTTTTTTTTCCTGTGTAATTAAAATGCTCTTAGACTTTGTCCTAGTTCACAAGTCTTCAAGGGTACCCCTGTAGATAGAGGGAAGTGAGATGACTTCACCGGAAGGAATGGACCCTGATGAGTAGATCTGACATCTGGACAGGATATAGCTCAGATTTGTGAGCCCCAGCTGTCAGAGAAAATTAGGAAAATGGAAATGAAATGAACACCAAAATACAATATTTTTTTTTTTAACCAATGTAATATATACCTAGATATTAGTGTTGTGAACCATCGGAATGGTAACTGGAAGAAGAACCACCAGATTCCTATTCATTTTACAAATAGTTCTGGAAAGGCTGCCATGACAGTATCAGAGTGGGTTATCTGTATGGTGATATTACAAACTTTGTTCCAACGATGAGACTTTTCAAGGACATGTAGACATACAGTCATTCTTATCTCAATCCTTATCTCCAAGTTACCAGAGTTCATGTGCTCAGTGTGAATCACTGCTAATGCTGGGTAATCCTTAGATCTGGCCCGCTGGACCCTTGCAAGCACAACCCTGACAAGTGTGAAGCATGTGTTGTTGATACTATTGCGATGAGAAGTAACAGCAACAACAAAAATAGACCACACTGCCAGTGAGTTGATTCTGACTCATAGCAGCCCTATAGGACAGAGTAGAACTGCCCCATAGAGTTTCCAAGGCTGTAAACATTTACAGAAGCGACTACCTCATCTCTCTCCCATGGAGTGGCTATTGGGTTTGAAGGACCAACCTTTAGGTAGCAGCTGAATGCTTTAACCACTGTGCCACTAAAGCTCCTGTTAGGCGTAAAGGACCCTAGAATTCTTGTGTAAAGAAGCATAGAATGTCTCTTCACCTTCTTACAAGTGGGAAAACAGATCACTTACGTGCAAGAGTAGGAAAAGCAGTAAGACCTTTTTTGCAGACATGGAGCAGTAGTTACATTTTTGTGTGTAGGCTAATGTCACTCTTGATTTTCCTCACTGGAAGGGCAAGGGCAAGGATCTAAGACTGGCCATCATGGAAAATTGCAAAAGTGGCAGGTTTCCAAGAAGACCACAAGCAAGGACAATGATAAGAAATGGAAAACACAGTCAGCAATACCTGTTAAAAAAGAAACTGCAGCTCTGCTTTCTGAAAGCCAACTCAGATGATCATGATGTTTGAATTAAAATTCATGGAATCTCTTGGCCAACAGATTAATGATTTCTTACAGCATTAGAGTTGGAAGGGCACTTAGACATCATCCAGTCCAACCCCTCACCTTACAGATGAGCCAGCTAAAGCCTAGAAAGGCTCGCATGCCTTATCTGAAGCCACTCTGTCAGTGTTCTGATTACCTAGTGCTGTTCTGACAAGAATATACCACAAATGGGATGGCCTTAACAAACAGGAGTTTATTCTTAAAATTTAGAGGCTTTAAATCCAAGTTCAAAGTCCCAGGCTCTAGAGTCTGGGTGATAGCCCCTCAACCTTGGGGTCCAGCTCTGCCTTCTGCTCCAGGCCCACTAGAGCTAAGGCATTTCTTCACTCAGACAGCTGTTGGCTGCTGAGGCTGAGAAGCGCCAAGATTGACAAGTAAAAAGGCATAGTCCCGATGTTACCAATCCACATGGCAGGCCATTAACTTAAGTCCATTGTAAGTCCCAAGGTCGGCAGAGCATAGCAGGCTGCTGAGCAATGACACGGCTACATGCAGGGTCCAAGTGTGCCATAGACTCGAAACCATTCTCAAAGCGTCTCTCCTTATATGTAGGAAGCAGACCACATCCCAAAGGCAGCTACTCAGCTGCTTGTGGTAGATCCCACCATGGAGTTGATTGCCAGGCTCATCATGGGGAATAACTACCACCAGCTTCCCAGCCACTCAACCAGGCCCAGCCAGGTTGACACAAAAACAACCACCATAGTCAGTGAATAGGAAAATCACCACTCAAACTCAGGTCTTCTGACAGGTACTCCTGTTGTCTCCCATTAGGCAGGTTTTCCCCACTAACTGAAAATACAGTGTTGCTATGAAACTTTTTATAAGCTAAAATGACATGAAGCAAAGAGGCTGTTGCCATTAATTTATATAGAAAAGAGTTTTGAGTGTTCCCACACCCACAAACTATACTACCCAATCATATCAAATAACACATGGCACTGATACATGGTAAAAGAGGGAATGAAACAATAAACACAGAGACTCTGTAAGGTAGAAATAATGTCTACAGTGTTTACAGTGGAAATGCTGTGGAAGAGCCTTGACTCTCACTCTTGCTGCTTGTGGTGTGTACTGCCTTTCACAGCTCACTGCAAAACAAATGCTGAAGGCTACTTGCCCCCTTCCCTTTTTTCTTTAAAGTGAAAGGCTTTTTCTAATTTCTTACAGTTAGCGCAAATAGATGCTAATGTAGGTCTTGTGTAAAAGTGAAGTGGCATAAAGAGAACTTCAAAAAGCGAGGGATACTGCATTACCCCTTTGAGAACAGAGCTGATGGTATCAATATAATTTTTCCTGTAAGGTGGTTTCTCTGTCCCTAAACCACACCCCATCTGTCGGTTTGCCCTTCTGTGGTGACTTGTATGTTGCTGTGCTGCTTCCACTGGTATTTCAAATACCAGGAAGGTCACTGGGAGTGAACAGCTTATAGCAGAGCTTCCAGACTAAGAAAGATGAGGCCTGGTAAGCTACTTTTGAAAATCAGCCAATTAAAACCCTATGGAGCACAACAGAATATTATCCAATAATATGACTCAGGGCTTGGCAGTGTTTGTTTTATTATATGTAAGGTCGCCATGAGTTGGTGCAAACCTAACAGTAGCTAACGACTACAGTATCACTAAAGGGACTTAGTTGGAAGGGCACTTAGATATCATCCAGTCCAACCCCTCACCTGTCCTGTCCCTCAATAAGCTTTTTTAAACTACCTGAAAGTTGAAAACAAATAAACAGAATTAAACTTCTCCTGACTATAGTAGAGTGCATAAGATTATAACCACCAGCTCCTCTCCAAAAGTCATCCTCATGTTTTAATTGTTTGCCTTTAGCCACACCGTGTGGTTTAACAAATAAAAAATCACATGATGGGTTATCAGGAGCCTTTATATATGTGTGAGAGCAACTGGGCTTCACTTCCCAGCAAGCATCCAGCTGAATCTTGCTGTTAAGGTGGAAGAGAGCTACAGTACTGCAAGAATCTGGGCCCTTCTGCAAGATTCCATGTCCTGCAACAGCTCTACCTATAGCTCTGATTTTGGAGCCACAGTGCCAACCCTAGCTCCTGGGTTGTTGTTGTTGTTATGTGCCATCTAGTCGGCCCTAACTTATAGCATCCCCTCCTTGGGTTTCTGAGGCAGTATCACTACGGAAGTAGATTGCCCAACCTTCCTTCCGAGGGGTGGCTGGTGGGCTTGAACCGCCAGCCCTCTGGTTAGCAGTCAAGTGCCTTAGGCACTATGCTATCAGAGCTATATATTCCTGTTTTTCCCAGTGCTAACTGCTGATGGCATGATAGATCTGTGCTTTTGTGAAAAGATCTCAACCCAGAGCCAGAGGTTTTTTCTGGAAATGTCCTGCTGGTCACAGATTGTTATAGGCAGCTTGCACAGTGTTAGGGTTCACATTTAAATCTAGGTTGTAAGCATATTTACTCATACACTCTTCACTTCACCCTTTCCTCCTTCTCTTCTTTCTGCCACCTTCTGCAATGATAAGTTTTTATTAGTGATGAAATGAGAAAGGAGATCTGATGTAACATAAAATGTTCAGGATAATATCATACCCCTATTTTTCTTTGTAGTAAACAACTAATGGCGTAGTTAAGGATTCTTCACAGATAAACTGTTTCTCTCTCATCTCCACCCCACTCAGTCATTCATCCAGAATAGCAAATGATAGAATTAATCAGGTTAAATTCAGCCATTATTTTTCTTGTTTCAGGCCTCTTAGTGGAAAAGTGAATATGCACTGAGAATAACCACAATTCAAGAGAGATGAAGGAAGACGGCCTGACCAGTTCACAACTTGAAATACTAATTTCTGTATAACCTCAAATTCTTTTGTTGTTTTGGCTAAAGATTTAAAGCTTCAGATACTAAGTGACCTATGGTACTAATAACAACAACAGTGAGGAAGATAGGAGAGGAAAAAGAAGAAAACATGTTAGATTTGCACTCTCAGCGTGTCTTCCTACATTACTTCATTTACAATTCAAAACAATAATGTGATGTAATATTAAAAATATTGAGTCTTTCCATATAGAAACATGATACAGCTATTCATTTATTTAAATTTACATCTGTTTTTCAATGAAGATTTTTTTCCCACAAAATGCAACTAATCTTTATCTGATGCAACAGATTTGCTAAAACTCTTTTCATTAGTTCTAGTCATCCTAATAGCTTTTTTATTTATAATTTTTATTTCTTTGTCTTGTTGTACCCCGATGGCTCAAAACTCACTCACTGCCATTGAGTTGATTCCAAGTCAGCGACCCCTCTTTGCCAAGGTGGTATTTCTACAGAAGTAGATTGCCCAACCTTCCCTCTGAGGAGTTACTGGTGGGTTTGAACCACCAGCCTTCTGGTTAGTAGTCAAATGCCATAGGCGCTACGCCACCAGAGCCCTGATGACTAGAATCTCCCAAATCATGTTGAACTCAATATGTATCCTTGTCTTATTTCTGACTTTAGTAAGAATGATTTTTTTTTTTGTCAATTTATTTATTCATTCATTCCAAAGTATTTGTTGAGCACTTAACTATGTGTATTAGGTGCTGGAGCTGCAATAGTGAACAAAACAGACGTTTCTGCCCTCACAGAGCTTATATGCTGGGAGGCAGAGACAGAAGGTCGAGCGTGATTGCAACATCAGTCTATGGGACCAGTCCCTTCAGA